AAGCAGATTGATGGACTCCCGGTAGGAAAAATTCTGTATTTCTCCTAGACAATATTATTCAACCTGAAATTTTTCAGTTTTGGATTTATATTCTTTAACTTATCAGACTGCTGGTTTACAGCTCCCAGAGTAAATGGTACCTTGCTCTGTTTATGAAATACATAACCCTTCAAATGACATGTTCTTTCTCTCTAGCTTTCTCACCCTCCTAGTGTTCCCTTCCCTGTAATTCATTCTGCACCCCATGACATCCCAATAAAATAGGAGAAACGACATCTCATTCAACTCTCTAAGATTTTGTTTTCTAAAGTATATGAGCACAGGGTACAGATACAAACAGTTCTATTCTTGCTTATATCAGATTTCTTTTTCTTAAAGGCAAAAAAAAGGCCTCGAAGATTTTACCTCAGTGCTATATCTATTGCCAAAAGTCTCCATCAGTACACGAGTCTCTCACAGGGAGTTTGAACTTTCCTTTAATCTAATCCATTTAGAAAATGACTCACAATTTATTGAATAAAGTGGAGAAAATTGATATCTTTTCATTAGACTGACAAAGTCTTTTTCACTGCTGGCATCTGTGAAATGTGTTCGCTATTTAAATTTTATTTATATCAATCTTCTCTGGTAGAAACTAGATTAAATGGAATGCTTTACACTTACAGTAAAAACCTCCCCATCCCCAATGAGTGTCATACCGGCTCTGCAAGCCATCTCTGCTCATTATTCCTTGGATACCTATGATCAGGAGGAAGCACAATCTAATATCTCTCTTCCTTTGTACTCTATCTGTAAATAACCCAAATGCGTCTACTTTATCACAGGCAAAAAGAGATAGCGGCTGTGGCTTTCTAATGGCAAATGCAGAAGTAATCTTGGAACACTTTCATACATAACATGCTTCTTCTGAGCTGCTGAAAGAATGCATGATGAGACTTTGCTCTGTTTCCATACTTCAGGGCTTTCCACAAGCATGAATTTTAAGTTATATATAACAATATGCCAATACAGAGTCATTTTGTTAAATACATCTTTATCCTCATCGTCATACATGCTTTGTCACATCGTTAAAACTATTTCCTATTACAGATGTAAAAAAAACTAAAGTAAAGTATTACAGGTGTCAAAAAGTTAAATGAGCGTTGCATGCACCAAGAAGAGATTTGCACTTTGCTTTAAAGGGCTCAGTAGCTGCAATTTAATGCAAGAATTTGAAGACTGGAAAAGGTGAAAACAAGTTTAGGAGTTTCAGCAAGTAAGGAAGTTCTAATCAGATGCACTGTGCATTGACTTTAAATATCATTTGAATCAAGAGGAAGGTAGTTGAATGTCTAACAGCTCCATGTTGATTTGATTTTGTAGATGTAGGTGTTTTAGGGAGTGCAAGTGTGTTTCTACTGCACCGCTGTAATAGAACAATTTGTCTCTGATATTCAAGGGAAAAACATCTCCAACCAGCACTCTTCATGTACCCAACTTTTGTGCTCCAGATGGTGCACAAGGAGACAAAAAGCCATCACTGCATGCTGAAGCCCATTGAGTTCAGTCTAAACTAAGTTCCCTACAGCCAGCTAGGGCTTTGGGTGCTGTGTTTGGGAACAAATTTCAAAATGCAGTAGGGTTGTGTAAGCATTAACAAACATAAGCTATGGTCTTGCTCTTTGTCTATACACAGTCAGATTATCAAATCTTTTATCTGTTGTTTTATTCCACTGATGGTACACGTGATTAGAAAATGACATTTCAAGCAAGTGCTTTTTTGCCTGCTAATTCATGCAGACTAAAGCCGACCAAAGTTAAACATTTTGCTACAATTAAAAAAAATCTATAGCTTTGTAAAGGTGGTAAAAGTCCAGAGTGAATTGAAGTGGAAAAAAAATTTTTTTGAAGAAAGTTCCCTTTCTCCCCAGCTCCATTAGTTATGTGCTCAGAGTTTAATATTCTCATAAAAGATGCGTCTTATTGAAAAGAACTCAGATAGAAGCAATCCCTTATTTACGCTAGTAGGAGCTGGGGAAAAATATCACAAACGAAGCAGGAGCCGTCAAGCCTCTTTTAAATCACATCCCCTTTCTCTCTCTGTGGCTGAGGGTGTCTGTCTCAGTCAAATCAGCCTTGCATGAAAAAAAAAAAAAAAAAAGAAAAAAAAATCTTCACTTTGTGTATTCCCCAGACAGTGAGAGAGAATACAGTGAAAGCTGCTCCAAAATGTTACAGCTGTCTCATTCAGCGTTATGTGAGCACTCACAGCAGTGACTATGGGGAGCCTGTAATTCTCACCTGGGTTTAGCACCTCAGGTTCAGAGAGGAACTGAGGTTCCTCCTGATCCTGGAGCTCTCCAATATAAACCATCCCAAGGGAAAGCACCTTAATTTCAACAGTTCTCTCACACAGCTGCCGCAGCACACATCAAAGCGACATCACCTAAACAGTGAACCTGGGTTGTGGTCTCCAGACCCTTTCCCTACACGAGTGTACTTAAGTTCAAACACAGCCAATTGTGCTTCATTTTGAAGCTTTTGCCTTGTCCTTTGAACAGAGCTGCAGGTGTAAAACTTTGAAATTGAGCAGATCTCAAAGGATCAGCAGTGCCCAGGAAAGATAGCTGGTCCTAGAGATTCAAAGGCTCTTAATAGAAGTGGAGAACTATAAACACAAGACTCAAAGGAAACAACTTTCATCAGGCTCTGGATGCCCCTGCCACAGCATGGGGCTGAGGACAAGACAGTAGGGAGCTTTGTAGTGCTTCAGACTTACAAAGACTGCATCCACCTATACATGAGAGACAAATAGGTGCTCTTCGTCTAAATGACCTTAGTTTCCCCTTTACAAAACAAAACAAAACAAACAAAAAAACCCACCTTTTCCTCAGCCCACCTGTACTGATAAGGGACCAGGAATGAGGGCTACTGGTGACTGCAATTGCACTGTGATCACAAAAAAAAATGGACACATACACTAAAAGCTGCATGTTGATAGGTGAAAGGGTTGACATCACAGTTCAGCATTCACTTTGTGTTTGACTTTTTTCGGTGTCAATACCCAAATACTTGAGCTGTTTTGAGGAACAACATCAATGAGTAGCTAAGACCATTTTAATTGCAATAAACAGCATTGTTTTCCCACGCTCCCCTTAGCTTGTATTAAATCATATTACTGTCTTGCATTGCAGGCTCCCTGTGCCGGTACACTTCGTGTTGTGAATTTTAGCACCTAGCATCTTAGGATCCTTCTCCATGGTTACTTATTGCTAAAGCATTAACACTAACAAATAAATACGATCATCACTTTTGATTCCATGTCATCAGATTGTCCTCACGCACTCTGAGGATGCCCAGCTCAGATGCTTGCAGTGAAGGGCATTTAGCAGGACGCGATCTGCAGTTTGCCCATTGCACAATGTATTATTAGAGTGCAGATTCACCACCACGTGCCTTTTCACACATAGCAAAGAGAGATTCTTTTCTCCACTGTTAGTAGCATTAACGACACCCTTCAGAAAGTGATGTGTGAATAGCATAATTACATTGCCTTGCAAGCACAGGTGTAAAGTCTTTTGTGTGTGCAGTACACATGGAGAAATGGTATATTGCACGATATAAATGAGATACAAGCTGTGAGAAAAAATAGGAGAGAGAAAACAGCTTAACTCATTTGTTCCAAACTTGCTGACCTCTTCTTTAAGACCAAAGGAGTTTTTTCACACCAAGATGTTTACTCCCTGGGTTTTGAGTAAATTCTGTGTGTGAGAAATGTGTTCTTATTGGGACAGCTATTCAGCTTGTGGACAAAGCTCTCCTACAGCTTCACTTCTGTACCTGTGAATTGAGGTGATAGATATAATGAGCAGCACATGTCTTTGAGCATTTCCTTTGGACTTTGTAAGCATAAAGAGATTTTCGCTAGATAAAAAATAAATCAATAATTTAATTATAAGTTCTGGGATGCACTTAAATCAGTACACGCACAAAAGGGCATTTTCCAGAGTTGGTGTGACACGACTCACACTACTGCATCAAAGGAACTACATAAGTGTGAAGAAGTTATGAGGGGAGAGAGAAAATAGTTAAGGCTCTGAGTGTAGGAGAATCCTTAGCAGTTAGACTTCAGCAGTGCAACCAAGAAATTAATTCTTGCCAGGGAAAACAGGCCACAAACAGAGCCACTCAATCCTCAATTAGCTGCAATTTGCAAGATCAGCTAAAGTTTATCAAAATCCCCAGACAAAAATTGTCATTAAGATACAGCTAAGGTTATAGGAAGATACCAATTCCCAGGCAAAAAAAAAACTTCCATTAAGATACCCTCAAGGTTGTAAACATTCATGCCAATTAAACTCAAACAACAAGACTCAAACTCTACAATTACTTTGAATGCTAAATGCTTACAAATAAAAGGCAACTGCTAGTGACCATACAGTTTCCATAAAAGTCATAATCACATTTCAACAAAAAGAACTTGTGCAATTCACTATTAACTTACCTTCTATTTCCAGTTGAGTTGTACTCCCTACAGCAGGATATTGCAGAAGATAAAAGGCTGCATGGGTTCACACAATTAGGCACAGGTGTGGGGGAGAAAAGGCCAGCTGTGGGTACTCAAGGCAAATCAGGTACAGCTGATTTTGGAGATCCTCAAACCACAAGTCCTGAAGGCCTGTAGAATTTCTATTTCAACTCTTTCTTATGTATTTATAAAGACCAGACTGGCTACTCAGAGTGAAGGGCTGTTAGGCTGGCTGGTTTTTTTGTTCTGAAATAGTATTGCTATCATCACAGCATCCCAGTAGACTAGATCTCGTGTGTAAGAAAGCTATGGCAAGAAATGCACTGTTTTGGATAGACAGTATTTAATGAAAAACTAGTACAAATGTAAATTCCTTGCAAGTAAACCTGAGATGACAGGTTTCATCTCTTAAATACAGTGCTGGCTTCTTGAGGTATTATTTACTATTCTTTTCATTACAACATAACAATGGATATTGTCTTTCTTCCTTTAGCTTCAATAGTGATTGGGAAATGGTGGTGTGAGATGGAGCCCTGCCTAGAAGGAGAGGAATGTAAGACATTGCCTGATAATTCTGGATGGATGTGTGCGACTGGCAATAAAATCAAGACCACCAGAGTAAGTTGTCTTTCTGTCCATAACTGTGAGTTTTTAATAGGGATGAGAGTCAACAACTGTAGCTCAACCACATCATTTCCAGCATCATGTCTGCTGTAAATGTCCCAAAGTTTGCTGCACACCTCTCAAGCCAGCCAGTGCTTCTGGCTACAGCTTAGTGAGATACAGACGCAGATGGAGAAAGTAGAATGTCAAATGGCTGAGCTTCTCCCATTATGAAATTACCTCTGAAGAAAAAAAAAGAAGTCTCTTTCAAAAGTATATATATATTTTTTACATTGACCAAATATTTCATAAATATTTTCATAAAGCTGCCATCTATACCTGTATTCAACAATTTTAGTTAGATTGTTTTCATACCACAGTTGAATTTTTTTATGCAGATTGTCAACTCAAAACATTTTTTTTTTACGAGTGAATGCATCTTGATTTTCAGTGAAGTGAAAAATATCTTCTGAAACCTGTTAAGTGGAAGAAGCAAAATACTCAATAATTTTTTCTTTCTTATGAAAAAGCACAGCATGCCCATACCTGGATTCTAACTCATAGAAAGTTCACAGTCATCATTTTCTGGCTTCTCCCTTTTCTTGTGATCCCAACTCTGGTCATTTTTAATGTCTTCTATGCCTTTTACTGAAGGGGATCTTTCTCCAGCTGATCAGCATGGCTCCTGAATTCTTTTCTTTGCCTCCATGTGATTTATCCCAGGAAGAATGATTTGTATAGCAGCCTCATCTTCTCCTGGCATGGCTATTTGCACCATCACTTAAAGTTATGCTGCTTCTTTTTATTCTTACAACCGAAAAACAAAAAACCCAACAAACCACTGTATGACCTTTTCAATGAGACAACAGCTTTCTTGCTAAATTAGGAATTTAAAATGGAAAAAAGGGATATTAAAGAAGTAATGAACAGTATGAAGAACTACATTGTATTTTTCTATTTAAATTACAGTAATATAGTAGCTCTGTAGTCTCTCTGCAAGTTACATAATTTAGGTTCTGTGAACTTATCCTACCCTTAACTCTCCCAGCCATCATCATATAAGCTCGTTTTAGGCAAGTCTGCATCTAGAAGTGATTGCTAGAAATTTAGCAGCTTCATTAATATGCAGATGTATGGCCCAATCTATTCAGTATGCATTATTGTATTTCATTTAAATTAAATACTTACAGAGTGAGTGCTCATAGCTGAAGAAATATTTCTGTCATTTACCCACAGGAGTTATTTTAATTAGCTTGTGAGGGAAGTACCTTATGGTACTGCTTCCAGTAGAATTTTGCTTTGTTGCTTTTAAGTATCATTACAGAACCCAACTGACAAAGGCAACATGACATGATGATTTTAGCAACTGTCTCTTGCAGTTTCCAAGTAAAAACTCTACTTTATAATCCCTGAAACTTTGCTTGAGTCTGTACTTCTGTGTCAACTCTAGCAACATAAATATAAACTAATGGAAGCAATCAGATCCTGAAACAGGCATTTTTTTTCTTTGTTTTGTCATTTCAGATGGCATCAGAGAAAGAGATTACACTATAATCTGCACTGACCCCAATCTGGGCTGCAAGATTGGGCCATGTGTGTCTAATTTATGTAGTTAAGGAAGCTAAGAAAGCAGAAGCAGCAACACAAATCACTCAACATCCTAGATATATCTGTGGTGATTAGCCAGAAAAGCTAGAGCAAGTCACCACAAGCTGTAAACTATTTTAATGAAGGCTTTTCCTTACACAAAATACATTTATGTTAGGCTGCTACTGTCCTGACAAGGGAAACATTCAGGTTTATGACTCACAGTATTAAAAAAACCTATTTATGTTATCTTTGAGGCCTGCAGTGTATCACATATAAGCACGTGTATGTTTGTATGTGTATATATAGTGTGTGCAGTTTTACAGTGTATTACTTCATACTTTGTTCTCAGGAGTGATTAATAAGTAATTAGTGTCAGAAGGTGGACAGCAAATCCAGTGAAGACTTTGCCAGCATGGCCTCTACCCCTTCTTTTTCATGTATTTATTCCTGGGCTCAGTCCTTTAGTACAGCTCACTAATTAAGTTGTTAAAGTCAAAGATATAGAGCTCACAACCTCTGTAAATTGATCTGTTTTCTATTGCTAGTTAGAGCAGGTGACAAACACTGGAAAGAAATCATTTTGTAATTCAATCTTTGGACCACTTTCAACCCTTTTTGAGTCCCTGTTCACTCCTATTATTTTTTTTTATTTATTTTTCTGAAGAATGTAAATTTCCAAGCTTTCTTTGAAAATGTGGTGGGTTACTTTTGGAATAGTACCAGGACCTGGTTGGAAATTACACCGTGACATTTCAGGAGAGCAATCAGGACAGGGAGGAGAGGAACACATGGTCTCAGCCCTGACGCTGGGAGATGGTGCACCAAGCAGACAATAAACACCACTGAGAACCAGACTTGTTGATAAACACAAAACCACAAATCCCAACCTCAGGCTGCTGTCTACACCTGACCTTCAGGGCACCGCTTTGCAGGGTCCCTAAGGGCTCTCCTCTCAGGGCTTTGTGCCGGTCCTGTGTGCACTGCCAAATGCTCTTCAGTAATCTGCACTAATAGCACCTGGCATTCACATAGCAGCCCTCTGAGTACTTCAGCAAGCTGTTTTTCTGCTGATCCCGTGGAGAATGGAAATTAAAGCCTTCAGCACTTGGGAACTGGCACAGCAGCTCCGCTTGGAGCAGCTCGCTAGCTTCACAGCCTGCACCCTCCATTGCAGCCCATTGGTTTATAGCACACGTTTTGCCATTGGAGAAATGTATTTTTACAGTGACCTGAACAGCACATTTCACAGCAGTTTTGGCTCATCTCATGCTGCGGCAAATGGCACCTGAAGTGCTGGTGGCCCCTTGGTACTCCCTGCTCCTTCACCAACCATGCACATCCATTTAGCAGGACAGGGATGCATGCATCCCTAGGAAAGATAATCCCGCTTGTCAGCAGCAAACCGGGAGAGCGGAGTAAGGCAACAGGAAAGGAAAAGAAATGGGAAATGAAACAAATTGTTTTTGTTTTGCTTTTTTCTTTTTTCCCTAATTTGTCCAACTAGATTAATACCAGATGCGTTTTAATAATGTCACACTGCATTTTTCTTTAAAGAAAAATAGAAGAAACCCCTCTATTTTTGCAATGTCTATGTAATTAGAGGCCAATTCAAAGCAGTAGAGCACAAAATAGCAAATATCTCTTGCTATGAGACTTACCGTGGCATTTGATGGTTTCAGCTGGTGCTTAGCTGACAACTTTTATCCTTAATTTAATGCACAGTCCAGCTCATATTCAAGTCACCTTGCTTTTCCTTGATGATCGAGCAAAGCGTTGGACCCCCTTCTGCTATTCATCTAGATGCATCAGGTGCAGTGTTTGTCATGGAGAGAGATGATTCCATGGACTGTGATGTTATATGCAGGTGGGTTTATCTCACCTGAGGTGAGCAGATGAACTCAAGACTGAGTTATGGGTTCTCTCTCATACCCAGCCCCTGTAAGTGAGCTGGTAGACCCATCCACAAGTCCTTCCTTGCAGCAGCTAGGAGAAGGTAGACAGCTTTTGGACTCATGCCCAAAGCGACGCAAAACATAAAACTGAGATTTGAGCTCAGCCGTACAGTGAGCAGGGCAACACACCAAAAAGCCTAGCTCTTTTTCCCTCCCTTAACATTTTTAACATAACTGACTCTTACACTTTCACCCTGCAGATCCACCCAAGGACCTAACAGAGCCTGCATGGAGGCAGTGAAAGCCCAGCTGATTTATGAGGACAAAGTATCGAAAGTTGAAAACCATCTCAGCATTTACAAGCCAAATGGATTTCTTATTTGCACTCTGACTGTTTACCAGATGACAACAGTGGCTTTACTGTGTGAAAGAGAGCATTCTGCGGAAATAATGCCCCTGGTTTTTGACAGATGAAAAGAAAAACGAAGAAAAATGGTTCCTTTGCTAAAGTTTCTGAGATTACAAAGTACAAACAACAGTATAAGTTTGGATCTACAATTTACTTTATACCATTTAAAGTATATATATAGAAATATATATATATTAATATATGATATTTTGAAATAAAAGCCTCACTCTTCAAGAAATTAAATAGTACCACACTTTGCTGCAGCTGCTGTAATTTTTTTTCTTTATTGTAATGGTCTGGAAGATCCCTACCTGTTTCAGAGAGAAACGTGGCAGTGAAGAGGCAAAGCAAACCTGCTGCAGTACAAGGACACCTAAGAGTTACACGGATCCTACTGATATGGCATCCAGAGCTCCCCGTTCCCTTCGGCAGAATTTTGAGGGCATTTCATTGTTTTACTTTGTGTTCTGGAGGCTTTTCCCCTTGTGCAATACTAGCATGCTGGCTTTGCTTCATAAACATACTTGATACTCAATTGATATATAACAATGATAATTCTATCCTCTTCCAAGAAAATATTTTTAGAGCTGTTAGATATTCCGTGGAGAAGAAATGGACAACTGCTGAGTGAAGTACAGTATGTATTAAAAGTTTATTTGGCAGAGTTTGGTAGACTGTGAGCTCCCTTCTTATTAAAGATGTACCGTATGTACAATGTCTTCAGACTTTGTATAGCTCGTAGAGACTACAGTAAAGTCCCAATAACCAACTCCAAAGCTTTGCGTTGTTGGCTCAATTCTTTGAAACAACAACAAAGCTCCTTCTTTCTAGACTAACATGGAAGAGGGTTTTTGCATATGGTTTCTCCTCTTATGAGCCAATTTGCAGCTGGGCTGAGATGCCCTTCAGCAGGGACATGTCAGCAGAGCCATTTGCCTCTTAGCAGTGAATGGTCTGAGTTCACATTTCTAGCTCAGCTATTGCTGTTCACTGTTCAGCCTGGCCCTTGTGTTGCTGAGGAAAGATCAAATCTGAGGGTTCAAACGCTCAAGCCTAGATCACATCGCCAGGCACTTCTGTGAGCGGTTCAGTTAGTTTCAGGGGGTTATTCATGTGGAAGGCATCCTGCTGTCACGCATAAGTCTGCACAGCCCACCCTTCAGCACACCTGATGCTACCAAATCAAAGAGGAATTTAGAAGTGTAGAACTCATTTTATCCAGTCCAGGTTCATTTTTTTAATATTTCCAATTTCCTTTCACCCCACTTACCTATCTCTCACAGGACCCCTTTGGCCATGCTAATCACTTTTAATCCAATGCAAAGGAAGTGCTGCACTCACCAACCTAGAGTTGGTCAGAATTCTCCCACTAACTTTCTTTCTCCTTCGGGGCAACCACTTCAGTCCCCGATGTTCCAAGAAGCAGAAATTTGTCACTGTAATTACACTGCACATTAAAGCAGCTACATGACATGTCACGCAAAACTCCATGAAGGCTTTCCATGCTGGTCTTGGCCTGATGCTCACAGCAGAAATAGAGACACTTCTTCCAAGCAGTTCTATTATCTCACTTTTAAAAACAGATCAGAATGGAAAGGTCCATGAGAAGATTTTTTCTTTTCCTTGAACAGAAACACTAAATAGGAGCCTCACAAGCAGACCCATGGGTGGCCCAGCTGAGCAGGCTGCGCTTGTCTGGACACAGACATCTGCCTAAATCACAGAAGATCCCTGTGCCTTAGGCTGAGCTAGAAGTGGTGTACCATGAACATACGTCCCTAGTCCCATCCTCTTAGTTTGGCAGGGACCACTCCATGCCTCATCACCCACAGACAGAGGCATTCCCAAAATGAGCTCTTCACACCAACTCCAAGTTTAACTAGCAGAAATAAGAGGAAACTTTTCCCAAATAAATCCTTAGCATTTTCCATTACAAAAAAACAAAACTCTGTAGAGCGAGGAAACACTTGATGCACTAAGAGATAGATCTTGCTACAAACATCAGAGGGGATTAAAACATAGGAGGAGTCATCATTCCTTTACTAGCAGGATCAGAGACACACATAGTTAAACTGCCATTTAAAACCCCATTGGCAGGCTATAGAAAACAGTAAAAATTGATCCTAAGTTTTCTTATTCCCAATCTAGCAATGATCTAAAACCTTACTTTGCACACAACAAACTAGCCCCCATGGCCTCTTGCCACATTCCAAGGTACCACCACTGAGCAGCATTTAACCCACAGCAGTGTATCTGATGCGGCTCAGAATGTAAGCAGACAGCAACACTCACATCTGTGTCTATGAAATACCCCTGTTAAGACCGGGAAATATTAGACTTGCTAAAATATAAGAAGGAAATGTTGTCGTTTCCACAGCAAAGTTTCTTAAAGATGTTTATGAATCCTTTCTTTGCCAGTGGGCAGCCTCAAATATCACCACACCAAATTCCGTAAACATCTACGTCTCTTTGAAGTTCCTGAAAAATCTGCTCATGAAGCGCAGCACTCAGAAACGACTTTTAATTGTTTTAATTAAAATGTTTTAAAGGGGGAATTAGGCTCTTTGCAGAAATGACGGCTAATAAAACATGAAGTCAAATTAAGAGCTGGATGCAGCTAACAGTCATTGTTTAAGTGAACAAAAATAAACATCTCCAACCAGCCTGAAGTCATGATGATCATGTATCTGAGTGATGTGAGCACCAATGCAGCGTATGGAGGGAAGATGTCAGAGCTGTCTTTTCACCTAGGCAACCCTGTGTGTTTCAGTGGTAGGATGAAAGGGTCCCCCACCCTTGTGCAGGAGAGCCTGCATAATGTGAAAGGTTATTTACTTCAATAGAAGAGAATGTTAAAGTTCCCTGTTTCGGGCAGAAGATGAAAGAGAGAGATAACAGGAAAAACAAAGTCAAATGTTTGTAAATGTCTCAAAGACAAACTTAGTTATATCAGTGTTTCTTCTTCAGATAGGTGAAAGCAAGTTAAGTCTGAAGTGCACCAGCTGAAAAAATACTGAACAACAAAGTAGTTACCATCTGCCTATTGATTCAGAGAATCTGGATTACATGTTTCTGTCCAAAAGTCTCTAGTAATAAAGAGCTCAGCGTGATACGATTTGATATTGCCTTGAATGTGCTTCATGCTATATTTAAAGAAAAATGTTCCGTGGAGAAAGTCCAATGCTATGGCCAGTGACTTTGAACAGGATGATGTGCACCAAAACCTGGCATTACACACAGAAAGACCTGTGAATAAACACTGAAGGTGACTGATGCAGTTTATGATGAGTGATGTTCCTATCAGACCTATTGATCCACCATTAACAGAGCGTGCAGATACTTGCAGTGGTGTATTGCTTGTATATTTTTCTTTTCTGAAATGATTCGTTATGTTTCGAGCTCTCCTCACTTGCCAGTTGTATGGCATTTCTCATGGTCACTTTGTCAGAGCAAAGCAGTGCTTTTCTGATTCACTGTATGGTCTAAATATAATTAGAGATGATGGAGAAGCTGTGGAGGAGATAAAGCTACCTTAGCTTGGAAAGCATATCCATCTCATCTGAAGGTGGCAGCCTTCGTCTCTTTTTAGTGGCAGGATGAATGCTGTGTCCTAATATGAGCTCCTTTTGTATCACTGCCTCATTCACTTCCCAGCACGTAGGGCTTAAAGCTTGCCTGAAAAGAAATGGGTCATGCTCCTTTGCTTGGTATTCTGCCTTTTTTTTTTTTTGGATCAGAGAAAGATAGAAATACATTCCACAAATGATCTTTCAGGTAGACAGAAAGGGAGAACGGGGCAGTTGGTTTAAGGCTGTCAACACTTTTTCTAGTTCACCAGTTTGAATTCAGATGATAGTCCTGACACATATTTATGGTTTCTTGCCTGAAACACACAGTCAAAACACTTAACTGCAGGTATTCATACTATATAAAACTCTGCCACTGAGGAAAAGCAACTGAATCCTCTGCTCGGCAGCTAGGGAACCAAGCCTCAGAAGACTTGAGACCTGCCCAAGTTACACCAATTTGTAGAACCAGCAGAAGAATTGAGGACAGCACCACAGATGGTTCATCTAAGGGTCACATCAGTGTGACTGCACTGACAGCAGACCCCAGCTTTCAGATTGGGACACAGGGAGCAGAATCAGGATGCCTGCAGCCAAGCGTGGACAATAGCATGCAAGTGTCAACTGGATAAAGCTTGCTCACCTCTCTTCAAATGAGATTTGCAAACTACTGATGCATGGAAGACCACTGTTAGTCCTGGCCCAACATCTGCTACCACAGGGACAGTGACACAGTCCCATCCTGGTTTCTCCATGTTGCTCCTGAACGGAAGCTACTCTGATCAGACTAACAATGAGAAAAGGCAAGAAACTGGTTTTGCTCAGCACATTTGGGTTGTAAGTACCCAAGCATCACCAGAAGTCCTGCTTTTGGAGGGTCACCATTCTTCAGAAATGCTCAGCTGATAGAATAACTTTCATGTAAGTGTTGATGTGGAGCAGAGAAAGCACACATTCCCTGACATCAGAAAGTGCCTTAAGCAGCCAACAGGAGACACAGTGAACTTGTATTCATTCATCTGAAGAACGTGAGCATCACTACTGCAGGAGAAAATACTACACAGAGTAACTAGAGAGTGGAAAAGACATCAGTAATTTTAAACAGCATTCACCTGTTGAACATTTGGAAGATCTGTAGGAAAAAAGAAAAAAAAAAAAAACACATTGTTGCTTGACAAGTGCTCCTAATTCTGGAGTACAGAGGTCTTTCCCATATCTCATGCCTGGATATCACAGAATGGCCAGGGTTGGAAGGGACCTCAAGGATCGTGAATCTCCAACCCCTGTGCTGCATGCAGGGTCACCAACCTCCCCATTTAATAGCAGACCAGGCTGCCCAGGGCCCCAGCCAATATGAATTCATTCAACACTCATTGTCAGCTAACTTGCATTTTGCCACCATGCAGCAATGCCATCAAATTTGTATAACCAGAAACAGCGCACATGTTGAAGCATTGGGTTACTGACCTGCTTCCAGTTATTTCTCATCTGCTTTCTTTGTCAGATGGCTGTCCTTGATACTGTTAGAAATGAGAGTCAGAGGCCCACCTAGATGTGAAGTAAACTACTTATAACCTAAAATATTGCTGAGGGGGAATATGCAATTTCTTTCTCCCACCTGCCATTCCTCTTCATTTCCTATTTCATTTAATTTTCATTTCTTCTCATCCCCTCTTTTCACACCACCTAATTATTTTCATCCATCTCTATTAGTCCTTTATCACCACTACTACCCCACAAACTAACGAAAAGCAGCTGCACTGTCAAGACCCAATTCAGAGAGTTGTTCCCCCAGCAGCAGTGATTTATGTGATCATCTTTCTTTTCCTTTTCCTTGTGTACTTTGGAAGACGAGAGCCTGACCTTGCTGCTGTTGCCGTGCCAGCAGCTCCAATATTTGCACTGCACACACCAGCAATCCTCAGCTCAAGGCCACAGGGTCCACCTCAGCTGTGTCCTTTTGTATACCAAGCAGCTGCTGCTGATTCTTTGTTTGCAGCAGAGGACTAAATTGCCAGCTCCTTCACCTGTCCCCTTTGTTGCATCACCTACAGTCTTTTACACCCTGACCAGCACCAAGAACTCAGCACAGTGATCACTGTAGGACTGCCATTTCTTTATGCCTCTGCAAAAGGAAAATTTATCACTACTGATTTGTTCGGACTGTTCTTGGACTTGATCTAAAGTTGGGAAGAGCCTAAGCTGCTATCAAATGTTCTATTTGGGATCCAAGCACAGAGATGCTAGTTTTTGTCTGGGCTTTTTTCCCTGCCACTCTTTCAGTTCTTTTTTTATTTCAGAAAGGCACTCCAGCCAGATTTCTAGAGGAAACAGATAAAGCCCCATTAGTATCTCACCCACACCAATGTGAAACAGAGCAACAGTTTGGAAGTGTTACAGGTTGAAGCCAATTGTCCGTGTTCCTCTCCTTCAAATAATCTTTCCTAAAAGAATCTTTGAGACAGTATTTGAACCTTCAAATAATTCTGCATCCTGGAGAACCTCAGTACTACATTAATGCTGAATATCAGCTGAAAATCCTTAAGGACAAAATGGACTTGGCTCTTAGTGAATTCAAACCCACGGTCAAATCTTCCATTAGTTTTCTCCTGAAGCGGTAGCTGATGGGTCACCCTGAGACTCGTTAAAATGTTTGTAATGAATGTAAGCAGGAAAGGAGACCTCTCAGAGACATCTCTGCCTCTCTCAGCACTACCTCCAGACACCCTCCAGCCTTTCTTCAACTCTGCCAACAGAAAGTCCAACATTTACAACACCACGTACTTGCTACCAAAGGACTGCACTGGATCTGCTGTAAGCAGGTTTGTTTCTCCATACAATTTGCTGATCTAAGTCTAGCCTGAATTCAATTGATGTATGTGTGATAATTGCACTTACAGCTTTGCTGCGGAGTACAAGAACCTAAATAAAGCTTCCCTCCAGAAGAAGGCATGCAACCTTGTTATAACTTCCTGCTTTTTTAATCAGAGTGGGATGCATCTTCAAAGCTGCTTGAGAGGAACAAT